ACATCGTTTCTCATGATTTTTGTTAGGATTAAACAATAATTATATCCAATTACCAAACAGTCATCCCATTTAACAATCATCCCATTTATCATAGTCATTAAATGATTATACAGGTGCAGCCTAATGTTTTCCCAGGGCCTACCTAACATTTTCCCAGGGCCTACCAGGCCTATCCTTCCTTTCTAACTTGCCTGAATATTCCATGCTTTTAGAAACATTTTATCCCTATACTATCAAAGTGAGCACACCCTGAGGTGGCAAACAAAATGTAGCAGAAATTCTGCAGCCATAGCAGGAGCTGCGGGGGTTGGGTGGATGTGGGGTATCAAGTTAAAGTGTAGCAAGAAGCCCTAATTAGTGGCAGAAAACAGGGGGGCTGGGCAGGGAATCGCTCCCATGGATAGCTTACCGGCAATGGCTGGTCCCAGGGTAGAGCCACACAGAGGTTGTGACCCTGGCACGGGACAGCGGGCTCCCGGCGCAGCACGCACTGGCTTTGGGCTCCCAAGCAAGCCAGCAAGCCCAGTCACAGTGCCAAAGGAAAAGAAAAAAAAACAGGCAAAACCCACAAGGCAACAGTATCTCCAGTCAGAGGCACCACGCCGCGTGGCCGCTGAGCTGATCGTCCCACCGGAAGGAAACCACAGCCTTTCACCCCCGCAACCCTCACAGGATCCCGAGCTGGCTCTCACCCATCACGATACTCCTGGAGCCAGGAAGGGCCGGGGGAAAATAACCAATTCGGGACACAAAACACAAACAAACAAAAAATGGATATGGGATAAAATCCACACCCAAGACAGCTGCTTACCAGGGTTTGTCGTTGCAAGCGGGCCCCTGGTTGGGTAATAATTAGCATGGACTCCATGATTCACAGAAGGCTGATCAATAATTCTTTATTAAGAAACCCATTGCTCTTTTATAGACAGTTATGATACAGGTGGACCTAATTGGTCCTCCAGTCCAAACACCATCACCATTGGCTAATTAAGAAACCACCCTTTGGTAAACAAATCTCCATAACACATTCCACATGTTCACAATACCAGGTGCAGCAAGTTAAAATAAGAATTGTTTCACATTCTTTTCTCTGATCTTCTCACAGCCTTTCCCAGGACGATGCCTGGGAAAGTTGTGTTTCTCTCTGTGGCCAGAGAGCTGCTGCCACAAGGGTTGACCCACAAGTAAGAACTGCGGTGGGTTGATCTTGTCTGGCTGCTAGGTGCCTACCAAACAGCTCACTTACTCCCCTTTCCTCAGCAGGATAGGGGAAGAAAAGATGAAAAAGCTCATGGGTCGAGATAAGGACAGGAAGGTCACTCACCAATTACAATCGTGGGCAAAACAGACTCGACTTGGGAAATATGACTTTAATTATTACCAGTAAAAAAAAAGAAATAAAGCCCAAAAATAAAACCACCTTTCCCCCACCCTCCCCCTTCTTTCCAGGCACAGCTTCACTCTTGCCTCTTCTACCTCATTGTCATGGTTTAAGCATAGATGGAAATGAAGCCCCACACAGGCCCTCTCCTCCCCTCACTCCCTTGAGAGAGATAAAAGGCAGAGATTCCGAGTTGAGATAAGAACAATTTACTGGAAACAGCAATGAGATAAGAAAAGAAACAGTAACAGCTACAATACTAATAACAACAGTGTATGAAAGGGTGATTACATGCAAAAATGCTTACTGAGTCTGACCCAACGCGACATGACTGCAACCAGAGCCACCCCACCGCTCCATTCGCCACTTGCTCTGCTGGAAAAAGGAACAAAATGGAAATGACCCCCTCATGTGGCACCTTTTTCTTCCACCCAAAGCCACACACCCCCCTTCCCGGAAGTGAGTCCCTTACTTCCACCCCACAACAATGATGTGAATTTGTATACAATAACAACCTAGACACAGCCACACAGCTCTAGGCTCCGCACCCTCTTGGCTGCTACCTCCCACTGGGGAATAGGCCAGGGAGTGAGTAACAAGTTTGGAGGGGACGCTGTAAAGAAATAAAGAAAACTAGTAGCTTAGTGTAACTTATTTAGCATTAGTAACTAGATGTGATGAAGCCTCAGGCTGTGAGCTGTGAATTTACACCAAGATACACTGAACTTTTACCTACTTAAGTAAAAGGAGGCCCCAGAGCCAGTTTGAGCCAGAAGGCAAGGAAGCGAGGAAGGCAACTACCCCTGTCAGCATAAGATGGAGCCTTAGAGAAGAAATGGGTTCACTTAGAGACAATGAAGAGACCCAATGAAGAACAAGACTACCCCATACCATAACATTACTATTGGACCAAACTGTCACGTGAGGGGTGGGAAACTTGGGTTGTAGGGGTATAATTGCCCAAGGATTTCTTTGTTCAAGGTCCCTCTCCTGAGGCACCCAGCTCAAGCTGTATCTCATCACTGTACCAAATAACCTAATTTGCTAGATTCTGCCTGACACTCTGCTTGGGGAAACCTAGGGTAAAACCAAAAGGGAAAATGTCCGTGTGAGTGTGTGTGTGTCTGGAGTCAACACAGGGTACCCATTGGTTCAGTGAAGCCATTCATAATGAACGGACTGCAAAGTCCTAGTGGTTGAAGTCTCAGGTGGTATAAATGTAACTCCTTGATTGAGTGTGAGATGAGGCCAATTTCCCTAACAGACACAGATGGGACAGCTGACCTGAACTGGCCAAAGGGATATTCCATTCCATTCCATTCCATAAATATCATGCTCAGCAATAGAATTTGAGGGAAAGGATGAGGGTTTCCTTTTTTTTTTTGGGGGGGGGGGGGGGGGGGGAGGTAGCTGTTGTTCAGAGACTGGCTGAACATCAGTCTACTTCTGGAAGGTGATGAGTAATTACCTTTGCATCACTTGTTCTGGTTTTCTTTTCTTCATCTTTCTCAAACCCTGAGTTCTCTTGCTTTTGTTCTTCCTATTTTCTCCATGCCTTCTTTTTTGCTGGGGGTGGGAGTGGGGTGGCATCTGAGCAAGTAGCTGTGTGGTGCCTAAGCTGCTGGTGAGGGGTAAACTACAACATTATTTTCACACACTGTTTTAGGAAATATGTAATGGTGTCAATTTTTAAAATATATATACTGTACTGGTTTTGCACAGCCTGGTTTTTGCTAGCAGGGGGGCCACAGAGAGATGAGTCCTGTGAGAAGCTGCTGGAAGCTTTCACCATGTCCAGCAGAGCCAATCCCTGATGGCTCTAAAGATGGACATGCTGCTGGCCAAAACTGGGACAATTAGAGAGGTTGGTAATGCCTCTGTGATTACATATTTAAGAAGAAAATCAAAACAAAGTTACACAGTTTTTCTTCTAGTCAGAGAAGAGCATGAGGTGAGAATATGTGAGGGAAAATAACATAGCAACACCAAGGTCAGTGAAGAAGGAGGAGGAGGTGCTCCAGGTGCCAGAGCCGAGATTCCTCTGCAGGCTGTGGTGAAGACCACAGTAAAGCAGGCTGCCCCCCTGAAGCCCATGGGCCCACGGGAGATGCAGAGATCCACCCACAGCCTGTGGGGGAGGTGCTTATGCTGGAGCGAGTGGATGCCTGGAGGAGGCTGTGATCCAGTGGAAGACCCAGTGGAGAGAGGGGGCCCTTGCTTCCACGCTGGAGCAGCCTGTCCTTGGAGGACTGCACCCCGTGCAAAAAGAGACCCATGTTGCAGCAGTTTTGGGAGGACTATGTGCCCGTGGGGGGAATTCATGTTGCAGCAGGTACAGTAGGACTGCTGCTTGTGAGAGTGGACCCATGTCAGAGAAGTTCACAGAGAACTATCTCCCGTGGGAGGGCCCCCATGTCCTCACAGGGGAAGGACTCCTCTCCCAGAGCAGCAGAGGAAAATCTCGGTGGTGAACTGACCAAACCCCCACGCCCTGTCTCCCTGCGCTGTTGGTGGGAAGGAGGGAGGGGCTGGGGGGAAAAAACGTGTTTTAAGGGCTTATTTTACTTCTCATTATCCTCCTCTGATTCTGTTAGTAATAAATTCACTTTGCAACCTTAAGTTGAGCCTGTTTTGCCCTTGAATTTTTTTCTCCCAGTCCTTCTCACTCATGAACCATTTGTAAATTTTTTCCCCCTTCTCCACTGCCCAGCTGTAGCAGAGGATGGTGAGCGAGTGACTCTCATGGGTGCCTTGCATTGGGCCAATGTCAAACCACAACATATATCTAAATGAAACTTTACCTACAGTTTTATCAATGCATTTTATATGCAGTAGATAAATAGCCAACCATATCCGTTATCCAAATTTCACTTTTACAGTGTTCTATTACTTGAACACAAACTTAGTTTCTATGGAGAGTCTATTGGCAGCTTGATTATTTTAAAACTTATTTTTCAAGTTTAAAAATAACATTCATGGTAGCCTTACATTACACACAAGCCCAACCAACATATGTTATAAAATGGTGTAATGGATGCATGCATGTCTGACAGAGTGACAATGAATTTACAAAATTCTAATTGTTCACTTTTGTAAACATTTTACAAAAGCATTGTGATTTACTTGGATGGATACACAATCCTTGATGGAAGAATTATTTAGACTGAATCTGTGGTACATTAAGAATAAAGTCGACAAGATCCATTCTGCATATTCTTTTGACATGATTCCAGCAAGAGAAACAGCATGGTATAAAAAGTATACAGGAAAGATTGTTCTTACCATAACCATCAAAATCTGGAAATTGTAAATACATGTTTAAGTGGTTGAAAATGTCAAAATTATAATAATTGTAACCACTCAGAAATTACACTAAGAAATGTTATGCAGTTACATGTAGCTGTCAAAACAATGCATATCTTTTCATGTCAGTTGGTAATTCTTTTCCAACAAGACAGAAAAACTTTGGCATTTGCAGGTTGTCCTGGTTTAGGACAAATCTGGGAGAAAACCTGAAAAGGGGTTCCTCTAGAAAGCAAATTCAAGTGGCCCCTCCCCCAACTGGATTGGGAAAAGATTTCCTTAGAGAAAAGTGGAAAAATCTGTTTATTTGAAACCTCTTGCTGCTCTGAAGAGATGACAAACTCAGGAAATCCCCTTCATGGGCTGTAGCTCGGCTCATTCAGTCTGTTATCAGTCCCTCCAGCGCTGGAAATGCTGCAGCCCAGGCTAGGCTCCGGGGGGGCCACAGGTATGAGCTGACGGTGCTCTTCTGGGTGTTCAGTCCAGAGCAGGTTTAAACAGTTCCAAGAAAAAGAAAAACTAGAGTCTAGGGAACTTCTCTGCCTCAGCTAGCTAAAAACTAACTAAAAAGCAAAAGAGAGCTCTGTCGCATTGTCTGTCCGTCTGTAGGCAACACAGTCCAGGAGCAGGAATGTGGAGGAGTGAGTGCAATTTCTGAAAACAAACTGCGCGCTTCTTCTCTCCTCCCCCCTTCCCTCTCAGAACCAGTCTTAAAGGTGCAAAACTTATTTCTGGGTTAAACAGACCAATGGGGATACAAGCATCATAAAATCACCCCAGGACACAGGTGTTCAAAATAATTTTCAAAGTTCACTACAGTCACAGCATTTTCTTTGCAAAAGGTAAACTGTACACCAAGGCTCAGAGGCTGTAAAAACTGGTTCCAAGTGGAAAAAAAGTGCAAATATCCTGCACAGATAGCTTAAAGAGCTGCTGGTTTAATAATTTGCTAACAGAATCTTTGTTTTCTTTTTTGCATAGTTCACACATCACTGGGAATGTGACAGGGTGTGCGATTTTTGGCAAGAGCAAAAAAAGTGATACCTGTGTAAGTTGCCATGTTAGACATGCTGGATCCATGCAGAATTCAAGTAGAAGGCTGCTACCTGATGTTATTAGACAGTGAATATTGATGTTGTTTTTGTTGAAGCAGTTCTGTAATAGCCAACAGCTTCTTAAGAACATGCTGTAGGAAAAAATACAAAAAACACACAAACAACAAAAAAACCCCAATACAACCCTACATTAGCAACTAGAAAAAAACAACACCCATCTTGCTTGAGAAGCATCTTCAACATAAACCTACCAGACTTAGAATTAGGTAGTTTAAAATATATTTTAATATTTTTATATTTAAATCCACAGCCCCCACACCCCCTCTCCCCAGCTCGTTTCACAGTCACTAAAACATTACTTCAAAAGGCAACTGTAAAACAGCAATATGCAATTTATCTGCAGCCATGGAAACCCATTAAGTCTTTCCAACTTAACCTGTGAGTTTGAAAATGAAACAATTCTATCTGTTAAAAACAATCTGTAAACCAAAAATCTATTCTTGGGTATTTTCCCCATGTGAAAGTGCAGAACTGGGCCAAGAACATGAAAAAATCTCTGGTGGAAAAAAAAAAAAAGGTGATAATACAATTCACTACTGCACAAGCACCCTCTAACTTTCTGAAAACCTGGTCATTAAACTTGAACAAATGCAAATGAACATACAAAACAGGCTGAGAAATAGTATTGCTAATGCACTGTCAGGAGTTCAATAATTTTTTCATTATAGTAGAACTGTGTTCAACTACAACAGGTTGATGATGAACATTAGGGCACTTATAGGTGAAAAAAAGAAAAAATATTCAAGAGGTTTTTTTATGAAAACCCATGAGGAGAAATTACTCCTCTGAAGTAGAAATATAAGTGTATTGAGAAAACAGTGTCACATTTATGACCCTTAAGTGCTACAGATGCAGGCCTTGTGAAAGAAATTCTCTCCCTTATCTGTAAGCAATACATATTTAATACTGAAAACTTCTACTATCGTGACTTGCCAGTCTAGCCATCATCTTTGCTTCGTCAAGACTAGAAGTAGCTGTGATTTATGAACTTGAACATGATTGATTTTTTCCTCTCATATGCCCCTGAAGAAGCAAATTTTAGTAGTTATTAAACTAGATTAGTTTTTAATTGCTATAATGTAGTGTTATCTCATTTTAAATTCCTTGATTTTTCTGCCAAAGCTAATTGAATACAAATATATTTTCACCATTCACAAATTTGCCATGTGTTCCCAGTAATACCCTTATTTTAAAAAAACATTACTGCCAAAAAATACATTATCTGAGTAACATCTGCTGAGATGAAATATAGATTTATCATCTATTTGGGTTTAAGGCCTTGAAAGAGTCAGGATATAGGAAGCTCAGTCTTCAAACCATGACAATAATAAGAAATCTGATTACAAGAAGTAATTTTGAAGCAATGAAATGAAGAACTATTTTTAAAACCGCCTCTTCAACATGAGTCATTAAATAGTTTGAGCTGATACTGATTAAATGTAAGGAAGACCATCTCTAAACCAAAAGGCTTTCCATAGTACAACTGCCCCTGTCCCCAAATGATTAGCATTAAAAAGGGAACAGTACTTGAATTATCTCCTGCACAGCACAGTATACTAGTCAAGCATACCAAAATATATTACTGTGCAATAAGTACGATTGGCAACTTGAAGTTTGTGACGAACACCCCACGTGTGGAGACGCGAGCCTCTGGGTCAAGTGGTTGATAGGGCAGGAACACAGGTATTCTGCTCAGTCCCTTTGGTGGCAGAGAAAAACGATGAAAGGAATAGGAGAGCCCACATTATCAAGAAGTGGCTCAAAGGTTGGTGTCATAGGCAGAATTTTGGGTTCTTTGATCATGGGGCAATTTCTATGTCACCTGGCCTGCTGAAACTGGATGACCTCCATCTCTCTGTTAAAGACAAGGATTTTAGCTCATGAACTGGCAGAACTCATTGAGAGGGCTTTAAACTAGGTTTGAAGGGGGAAGGGGATGCAGCTGGGCTGTCTAGAAGTAGGCCCAAGGGTGCTAAACCTGAGTTAGTGGTGAAATCAGTAGCCCAGCTGAGGTGCATGTATACTAATGCATGCAGCATGGGTAACAAACAAGAAGAGCTGGAAGCCATGGTGCAACAGCAAAGCTATGATGTCACCATCAAGGAAATGTGGTGGGATGATTCACATAGCTGGAGCACTGCACTGGATGGCTACAATCTCTTCAGGAGAGATAGGAAAGGGAGAAGAGGTAGAGGGGTGGCCCTTTATATTAGGGAGACTTGATGCCATGGGTATTGAAACTAGTGATGATGAAGTTGAATGCCTATGGGTAAGAATTAAGGGGAAGACCAACAAGGCTGACATCCTACAGGGAGTCTGTTATTGTCCACCCAACCAGGAAGAAGAGGTGGACAACTTATTCTATAAGCAGCTGGAGAATGTTTCAGGATCACCACCCCATGTTCTTGTAGGTAACTTTAACCTATCAGACATCTGCTGGGAACTTACTACAGCAGACAAGAGGCAGTCCAGGAAGTTCTTAGAATGTGTGGAGGACAACTTTTTGTCACAGCTGGTGAGTGAGCCCACCAGGGGAGGAACTATGTTAGACCTGTTGTTTGCAAATAGAGATGGGCTGGTGGGAGATGTGGTGGTTGGAGGCTGCTTGGGACATAGTGATCATGAAATTATAGAGTTCTTGATATTTGGTGAAATCAGGAGGAACAACAATAAGACTTTTACATTGGACTTCCAGAGGGAAGACTTTGGCCTGTTTAGGAGACTTATTCAGAGTTCCTTGGGAAGCAGCCCTTAAAAACAAAGGAGTCCAGGAAAGGTGGGCGTGCTTCAAAACAGAGATCTTGAGGGCACAAGAACAGATTGTCCCTGTGTGCCGAAAGATAAGTCAATGACGCAAATGACGCCTGGATGAGCAATGAGGTTTTGAAGGAACTTAGGAATAAAAAGAGGATGTATCATCTTTGGAAGGAGGGTCAGGTCTTTAAGGAAGTATTTAAAGGGGTTGCTAGGGCATGTAGGAAAAACTTAGGGAGGCCAAAGCTCAGTTCAAACTTAAAATGGCGACTTCTGTAAATAAATAATAAAATAATGTTTTTACAAATATATTAATGGCAAAAGGAAGGATAAGACCAACCTTTATTCTTTACTGAACGTGGGAGGGAACTTAGTAACTACAGATGAGGAGAAGGCGGAAGTGCTTAACGCCTTCTTTGCCTCAGTCTTTAGTGGGAAGACGCTTGTCCTCAGGACAACTGTCCTCCTAGGTTGGTAGATGTTGTCAGGGAGCAGAATGGTCCCCCTATTGTAGCAATGTATGTGAACAACTTAGACCTCAGTGTGCACCAGCCATACTGTCTGTAACTGTTCTTATCAGAATTTTCTCAGGGCACTGTGGAATTCATCAGGGTTACTAGGACATAAACTGCACTAAAATAAGAACGAAGAAGCCGAGAAACCGCATACCAGGATCGCAAGAGCTAGATAACAGAGGACTGTAGGACATCTGCACGGTAACCAATCACAAATGTTGAGAAATGGAGGCAGAGAATGAGGGAACAAGACAAAGGCACCAATCAAGAAGCGTGATGTTAGTAGTTTGTAGAATCTATAAAAGTGTGCGTAATGTAAGCAATAAACAGCTTCTGCTAGATCATATTGGTCAGTTGTTCAGGAGTCCTGGCTTTCCTGCAATACCCTGTTATCCAGGAGGAGGCAGTCAGAGAACTGCTGAGCCACTAGGATGTTTATAAATCCATGGGACCAGCTGGGATCCATCCCAGGGTGATGAGGGAGCTGGCAGATGAGCTTGCAAAGCCACTCTCCATCATTTACCAACAGTCCTGGCTCACTGGTGAGGTTCCAGATGGCTGGAAGTTGGCCAGTGTGATGCCCATTCATAAAAAGGGTGGGAAGGAGGATCCTGGTAATTATAGACCAGTTAGCCTGACTTCAGTACCTGGAAAGGTAATGGAACAGTTTATATTGAGTGTCATCACGCAGCACTTAGAGGATGGCCAGGGTATCAGACCCAGCCAACATGAGTTTAGGAGGGGCCGGTCATGTTTGACGAACATGGTCTCTTTCTATGATCAGGTGACCCGCCTGGTGGATGTGGGAAAGGCCGTGGATGTTGTCTATTTGGACTTCAGCAAGGCCTTTGACACTGTCTCAAACAGCACACTCCTGGAAAAGCTGGCAGCCCACGACTTGGACAGGAGCATTCTTTGCTGGGTTAAGAACTGGCTGCATGGCCAGGCCCAGAGCGTGGTGGTGAACAGCGATGCACCCAGCTGGTGGCCAGTCACCAGTGATGTCCCTCAGGGGTCTGTGCTGGGGCCAGTTCTGTTCAATATTTTTAGTAACAACATGGATGAGGGTATTGAGTCTTTCATTAGTAAATCTGCAGACGACACTAAGCTGGGAGCGTGTGTCAATCTGTTGGAAGGTACAAGGACTCTGCAGAGAGACCTGGAATGGTTGGATGGATGGGCAGAGTCCAATAAGATGACATTTAATAAGTCCAAGTGCCGAGTTCTGCATTTTGGCCACAATAATCCCCAGCAACACTATAGGCTGGGGACGGTGTGGCTGGACAGTGCTCAGGCGGAAAAGGACCTGGAGGTACTGGTCGACAGCCCGCTGAATATGAGCCGGCAGTGTGCCCTGCTTGCCATGAAGGCCAACAGCATCCTGGCCTGTATCAGGAATGGAGTGGCCAGCAGGACTAGGGAAGTCATTCTTCCCCTGTACTTGGAACTGGTGAGGCTGCACCTTGAGTACTCTGTCCAGTTCTGGGCCCCTCAGTTTAGGAAGGACATTGAGATGCTTGAGCATGTCCAGACGAGGGCAACTAGATTGGTGAGGGGCTTGGAACACAAGCCCTATGAGGAATGACTGAGGGAGCTGGGGTTGTTTAGCCTGGAGAAAAGGAGACTCAGAGGTGACCTTATCACTCTCTACAACTTCCTGAAAGGTGGTTGTAGTCAGGTGGGGGTTGGTCTCTTTCACCAGACAGCAACTGACACAACAAGAGGACACAGTCTCAAGCTGCACCAAGGGAAATTTAGGTTGGATATTAAGAAAAAGTTGTGTATAGAAAGAGTCATAAAGTACTGGAATTGTCTTCCTGGGGAGGTGGTAGAGTCACCATCCCTAGATGTGTTTAAAAACAGACTGGATGTGGCACTCAGTGCCATGGTTTAGTTGAGGTGTTAGGGCATGGGTTGGACTCGATGATCTTGAAGGTCTCTTCCAACCTAGTCATTCTATGAAAAAAATAAACCCGCCACTAAAACAAACAACATAAACCCCCCAAAAGAGAAAAACCAAAACAAAATACAAAAAAACTAACTAAAAAATCCCCAACCCACTCCTTTAAAACATCTTTGGATTTGTTGTATAAACAGTTCATATTTTTGAGCTTCTTTACCTTTACAACTATCAACCTCCTGGTGAAATGTACATATTTATCACTCATACTGCTGGAGAGAAAAAATTACAAAGGAATCACGATGTTAAACAACAACTTTAGTTAGACATGCTATCTCTATGTGTGATTTTTGTTAATCATTATATTTTACCTGCATTACACCTCGCTCATTGCTAAGTGTCCGAAGTTCATCTGAATGAGCCACACACATCTCATGCAAGGCTGCCAGATAACGAGATAAGTCAGTTCTAGAGTAATCTGTAGTGTCTGGAAGCTCAGGAACATTCTTAAACAAAAATTAGGAGAACAGATTTAGAATGGTGAGTAGCCAGGCATAAAAAAAATTAAATTACAGTTCCCCACACCCGCCAACAGTTGTTTTGATACTGCGAGCAAGTACCATGTTTTTCTTCACAATTAAGTCTTCTGTCCATGTTATCTAATAAAAATTTTTTATTTCCTCCTCTCCACAATCATCTATTTTATGAAGACCATTAAATTACGGTTACACATTTCACATAGAGAGATTACTGAATATACAGCAATTCCTATTCCTAATAGGAGGGTTTGATGCTGTTATGCTGTCTCTGAGCTGTCTAGAAAGATACTGAGAAAAAGAGATTCATATCATATCTTCCCCCCAAATAAGGGGGATCAATCCATTAGATGTTGGTTGTTTTATTTGTTTTTTAAAAATGTAAATCAGGCAATAACAATAGCAAATATGGACACCAAAAAATCCCCAAACTATCAAGTCGGTAAATCCACTAATAAAATAGTGCAATTAAACCAGTAGATGAATCAGCTATTTTAAAACCCCTAAATTTTCCAAGTCCTCATGGATAATCTACCATTTAAAGTAAAACAAACATATCATAATATGCAGAAGTTGCCATTTAACCATAAAAAGGTGACATATAGCAATCTATGTGAATGGCACACTTCAAAACAGTAATTCTTATAGATTATCAAAATGGTCTGAGATGTTTTCTAGGTCACTTTTAATGGATTAATTCAGGAATAATAAGATAGGCATATTTCTTTAATCTTTTTTTCAACAAATTATTGGTTTAAACATAAACATATACACATACATGAGCTCCTAACTCATTATAACTATCATACACAAAATAGTAATGGTTTCAAATTGAACTGAAACTATTATTTTCTTTTAAACTACAATATCCAGAATTCATGCAGTGAGACATCTGGTTATGTGTAACTAAAATAGAACACAATCTTTTTTAAAACTTCAATTTTTTCAATCTCAGGTCAAAATCATATGACAAATTACACATAAGATTTTCTTTATTTTAAAATATTTTTAGAAGGTTGGTATTTTTGTCTGAAAGCCCTAATCCTTGGGGAGAAGCTCAAATAGATCTCATGTCTACAACAGTACTTTCTAAGAGGACATTTGATTGGTTTTAATTCTGTGTGACAGGCCAGCAATCTGCAGTTCCTAAACATGCACAAGAAAAATATTTCAGTAACAAGCATTCAAAATTGTGAGGGAGTTGATGCATTTTTGAACTAGTTAACAAGGACTATAAAGAATTTTAACTCATAATGTTGCTATACAACTTGCAATTTCTCTTTTTAAACCACTTACCCCAAGTTCATCTAAAAACATGATCATGCGATGTTTGTTGCTCTTGATGAATGGATTTACCCCCTCCATATATGGCTCCTGGTAATTTTTAAAAGTATTTGTTAGAACAAATTGATACTGATTTAACAGTCATACCAGAAGATATTGCAATCAGAGGCAAATGACACTGCAAAACAAATGTGTCATCTTTTTCAAGTGAATTCATGATGACTGGTGTACAACCAATCAAAAGATTACACTTTTCTTTGCACCAGATGGATTCTGAAATTGTTTATATATGCATTGTGACATGAAATGTTACATTTCTGAAATAGTGAAAATACACTTTTTTCATTGCAGCTATAAAATGAAGAAAAAAGTTTCAGAGGTAACAACATCAGCAGCATAAACATCAGGACATAATTGCCCTCCTTTTTGTTCTTTCATTAATGTGCACATTCCAAGTTTTGAGTGTCAGACAAATGGCATTATAATGGCAGCCTGAAATTTCTTTCTTTCATTATGCTTTAGTCAACAGATTTTTATTGTTCAACCATGTTTTGACTTGGGAACAAGAACATGCCAATTGTTACTGGCATTCTTTTAGTGATGCAATAGAAAGTTTAGTAAAAGCTGAGGCTTTTAAAGGCAACTTGTAAAACTGATTTACAAAATTATGTCAAGCAGTATGAAAACAAGTACAAATAAAAGGGGTGTTTCAAAATGCTGTACCAATAGAAAACACCAGTCTAAGGAATAAGTAAAGAAAAAGCGTGCGTGCGTGTGTGTGTGTGAGCCAGAGGTTGGTAGTTGTTAACATATTTCTAAATTAAAATACTCTCTATCTAGGCTGGAAGTTTAGTCCTAATTGGTCTCAATTTGAAAGTGTATTATTACAGAATTCACAGAATGACTAGGTTGGAAGAGACCTTCAAGATCATCGAGGTGCATCGCTGTTCACCACCACGCTCTGGGCCCAGCCATATAGTATATAAAAGAACATGGATGTGGAATGTATTTCAAGGTTCTGTACAGACATACTAATATTACTGAGAGATGTTTCCCCATTTTGGCATGAAATAATCAATGGAAATGCAAAAAGGCTCCCATCATCTACTTCAGGCAAATGATTCATACTTCTTGAATAGATTCTTTCTAATCACAGCTTTCTACTCTAGCATTTCTCAGTTGCCTTTTTGATATGGAGATTCCTAAAGAAAATTTACTCATTTTACCATCACATAGATGTTTTCTTTGTGGAGGGATGGCTGCCTGACTCTCCTCTCCCACTTTTCCAACTCCAACACTCATCTTTTTGACTAGGAGAAGCCAGTAGACATGGTGGTTTTGGATTTTAGCAAAGCTTTTGATACTGTCTCTCACAGTATCTTTCTGGATAAAATGTCCAGCACACAGCTAGAAAAGTCCATAATACATTAGATGAGCAATTGCCTAATGGGCCAGGCTCAAAGGATCATACAAATGAGGTTATTGTGAAATCAGGCTGGCAGCCAGTCATCAGTGAGGTTCCTCAGGGCTCAATTTTAGGGACAGTGGTCTTTAATGTTTTTATAAATGATCTGAACATAGGAATCAAACATACATTAAGTTTGCTGATGATAAAGTACGAGGAGCTGTGGACTCCATCAAGGGTAGAGAGGCCTTACAGAGTGATCTGGATAGACTAGAGAGTTGGGCAATCACCAAGCATATGAAATTTAACAAGGGCAGGTGCTGGATTCTGCACCTGGGATGGGGTAATCTTTGCTATACATACAAATTGGGAGACAAAAGGTTGGAGAGCAGTCCCACAGAAAGGGACCTGGGGTCCTAGTTGATGGCAAGTTGAATATGAATCAGCAGTGCCCTGGCAGCCAGGAGGGCCAACCGTGTCCTGGGGTGCATCAGGCAGAGCATCACCGGTTGGTCAAGGGAGGTGATTGTCCTGCTCTGCTCTGAACTGGTATGGTCCCACCTCAAGTACTGTGTGCAGTTTTGGGTGTCTCAATATAAAAAGGACATCAAACTATTAGAGTATGTCCAGAGGAGTGTAACCAAGACATTGAAAGACCCTGAGGGCAAGAGCAGCTGAGGTCACTTGGTTTGTTCAGTTTAGAAAAGGCTGAGGGGTGAGCTCATCATAGTCTACAACTTCCTCAAGGGGGGCAGTGAGATGCTGATCTCTTCTTTCTGGTGACTACCAATAGGAAATGAGATAATGGAATGAAGCTGCATCACAGGTAGTTCAGACTGGACTTTAGGAAAAGATTCTTAACTGAGAGGGTGGTCAGTCACTGGTACAGCCTCCCCGAGGAAGCAGTCATGGCACCAAGCCTATCACTTCAAGGACAATATGGGTGATACCCTTAGTCATATGATTTACTTTTAGGTAGTCCTGCAGGGAGCATGGAGTTGGACTTAATGATCATTATGGATCCTTTCCAACTTGAGATATTCTATGATTCTATGAATACTAGAGTATGACTACTACCCTTTTTGACATCAACAGACAGAAAAAAAGAGTTCACATACTTCCACTGTTGTATTTGAAATTAATGTCTGAGTTTATCTGATCTCATAGCATAAAAATATGGTTACATCACTCTATAATGCGTACTAGCATGGCCATTAATTTATCAGTTATTTTAGCATGTCACTGCTGTTGTTCATACTTCCAGACTGAAAATATTTATGGTAAGTACCAAATTATTCACATAAATTTCTAGATGACTCATTCTGAAATTATTGATTCCTCTTTCCAAATCAGCCATACTAGCCATACTAGGTTGAATCAATACCCTGTTGAGCTCCAACTAAAGAGGATAGAAAAAAAAATTGCAGGAATAAAGCCTCCTTGCTGATAAGACACCCAGGTCACACATCAAGATTTGCATAAGAATAATACAGACAAAATCTGTTTCTGTTAACATGAACACGGCAATCTGCTAGACCGTTCTGTGTATAATTATATTCACCTTAGCTCCAAATTCAACCAGATTTGCTAAATTCTGCACAGACTTGGCAACCAGCGTCAGTGTTCTTGCAGCAGTAGGGGAAGGAGAATCTGATAGGAATAGAAAGTAGAAAGTTACTGACCATTTAATTTAAAACCTCCAGTAGTCACAAGAAAATTCTCTTCCACAATTTGCTATCATGGAATTCAATACTTTAAATGCTGTAACAGAACTGCATGTGAAAAATTTCTCATGATCAAGTAAACTTTTGGTGTTTTAGTAATTATGTCCACAATAAACATCAATATGCATATCTGACTCTTAATTTAAGACAATTTATAGGGTGAAGACTCCAAAGTGAGTTACCTCCCCTTAGTTTTAACCACTCCACTTTGATCAATAAGGAGAGACGAATGGAAGAAGATATAGGTGAAAAAATAACAGTTTACTAAAAATAAAACAACAACAACGAAGATAACAGCGATAACCACTAGATACAAAGGTGCTGAGTCACATGCTCCCCTCAGGAACAGAGAAAACAAGGTAGCAGAGAAGCCTCCTCCTAAGATGGCGGCCACCATGGCAGCCCATTGACCCAGGGGACAAAGACAAGATGGCAGAGAAACTCCCCTTCTCCCAAGATGGTGGCTGCTGTAGCAGTCCACGTGGCCCAAAGGACAAAGAGAAGATGGCAGAGAAGCCACCTACTGTGGACCACACAGTTGAGAGAGAACAAAGGAAAACAACAAAGCAACCAAGCCTCTGCGGTTCCAGAACACTCCCTCCCCCAAAACAACAACCAGCAGGGAACAGGGACAAAACAAAACCCAGAAAAAACTATTTTTGTCCAAAAGACTCTGATGCTGCCAAAATACTGAAAGAAAATTCCCAACATCTGAAGGTCTGATCCCTCCTCAGCATGGTGCATCTGGAACCATGGGCAGCGGCTTGAAAAACTTCTGGAAAGCAGGTCCAACCCCTCCTTGGCACAGGGCAAGCAGTAGCAGTCTAGGTACTGTGAAATTCTCCAAAGCCCAGGATGAGCATAAGAGCTCCTGCCTCATGCTGCCTCACAGGAGTTGACAAGTGGCAGACTAACAACCCATCAAGCAGCAAATGTGTTGCAAAATCTGCTCCGAAACAGCTTTGGATTGTGAAATGCAGCTTCTCAGGTTGCCCCATTACAGCAAGGAAGTATGTTAGAAAATTTGCTCCAAAAGAAAAAGAGACCCCTTTGTTTGTTTTGGTTTGGGTTTTTTAAATTAAAAGCTCTAACAACCCTATATAAAGTTCATAAACTTACCTTAGTGAAAGTCAAGAATATTATCTGGACTTCTAAACAGGACTAACACTTACAGACAAGCTTAAAAGGGATTACACAAATTTATGGATAACAACTTAATTTACAGCTAAAGACACAGTGGTCTCAATGCAGTTCCCAAATTAGAAAATAATATAATCTGAAGATTATATTAAAAAAAAAAATTATAGGAAAGATGTGTGCTAGTGTCTTTACAAACAATTCCATGGGTGAAGGTATGGGTGTTAATGTCTTTGAAATGGGTCTTAATGTCTCTACCAACTTCAAGCCACAGGTTTGTTACAGAACCCAGACAGTTTGACTCCTGAAACAGACAAGTGCGTCTGCACAAGCCTGAGTTTCTGAACTTGGGAGGAAAATGACAGATTCAAGGGGAAATATGTAATAGGCGGTTTGTGAAGGCTGTACTTTCCTAGTACTTTAGCCAATGGGGAAAGGAAGAGGGCAACATGCAGCTGGGAGTTTGGGATAAAAGGAGGCTGAGTCCTCTAAAACATCAAGAGAGAAAACTCCACAGGCATGAGCACCAGTGGACTCTCTCCCTTTATTTGAATAAAGTTGCAGGACTCCTCTGTCTCCTTTATGGACACTGGCTTTCCATAGCGTGATTTTCCGTACAAGATGGGAGTTCTTGTCCGGGATCCTTCCAACATCTGGGACTGGCACAAGTCAAGAAGAGCTGGAGGCGCACCTCATCCGCTTTTTAGGTAACCAGCTCCTTTTGAAGCTGGCCAGCACTGGGCAATTGACTGGATTCCTGAGACTGTCCAGGAGATAGATGAGAGGCTGACCAGGGTGGTCTGTGAAAAGCCCACAGGAAAGGACTGCTGGAAATCTCACCGGTGAGTACAATGGAAACTTTGGGGAGTAAAACATGGCAGGATGCCCAGAAGGGGTTGTAAAGGAAAGTTGAGAAAGTGTCTTGACTATAGGGATGACCATCCCAAAATACCTCCAAAGGGTCCTTTGGGAGAATGTTGAGATGGCTTGCACATTCTCCCAGAGGTAGTTAAGGACATGGATGCCCAGAGGGGGCAGTAAGGGGAGTCAAGAAGAGGTCTCAGCAACAGGGTGTTGGTTTGGGAAAGGATTGGTTAAAGGGGAGTGTGGGGGAATATGGTTAAGGCAAATAGCAGTGGGACACTACATGATAAGAATTGAGAAGCAGTGAGGATTGGGATGTTCTCTGCCTTATCTTCAAAATTTGCAATCTAATACAAGGCCAGCTGCAGGTCTTTTGTAGTCTCGGCTTCCAAGATAGGGAAGGCAGGGAGGTATTGTTCCTACACCCCCCCCACCCCTCCCCTGGTCATTATGGAGCCAGGGTGTAAGATTTGGGTTTGTCTGCTTACTACTCAGGACTTAGGGGGGTTTCTCTATGCTGAAGAGTGCTGAGGCTAGGCACAGAAGTGTGGGACCAGGAGCATGGGCTGGGGGCCTGTGGGGAGGTGTGGGGCCAGTCCAAAGCTGTGGAGCAGCCGGGGCTCAGCACCGGGTGGCGTCTGATGCCACCAACCCTGCAGGCAGGGGCTGTAGTGGCCCTCTGGCCCCTATGAGGTTGCAGGACATCTTGTCCACCTGCATGTCCCTGTGGCACTGCCCATCCGCCGGGACCTGGTGCTTTACAGAGCTTCTGGTGCTGGAAGAGTGGACAGGGGACCTGGACGAGTGTGCTGAGGGGATGCATCTGGACACTGCAGCAGGACAGGGACTGGCTTTGGTGTACGGTGTAAGGTAGAGTGACTGTCTTTGGTGTACACCGTGAGATACAATCTGTCACCAAAGCCTGGCCTGATATAAGAATGGATTTTGTTTGGGTCACCAGGGAGGTGAGTGATTTTGCAGAGTTTGGCAGCTGTGGGAGGGTGAGAGCCCACAGGCAATGGGAGCATGGGTTGCAGAGGTGGCAGAATGGGCCCTTGAAGGAGTTGGTTGGAAAGGCACATCAGGTATATGTAAGAAGGGATGAGGAAAAGGTAAAGGTACAGGCAAGGATAATGGCACAGTTTTTAATCAATATGCCATTTGTAAAAAAAAAAAAAAGAGAACATTAGAAATTGATTGTTAAGGGTGTCAGGATCTCCTATTGTACCGGAGGCTCACCACACTGGAGCCCTTGCTAACATGCAGAGTGGGTCTGAACTGAGAAATGTGTTTCCTAGTAGACACAGGAGCCTCTCTGTCTACTTTGAATTTTATGCCAAAGAGGGTTCTTTTGATAATTCAGGGAGTAAGTGGGAAAGATGAGCCGGTGCTTTTTATTCAACCACTAGTGGTCAACATGTGAGATGGGCTTGAAAAGCATGAGTTTCTGTTTGTTCGTAGTTGTGGTTTGCTAGGAGGGTATTTGATGACTGAGTTGCATTATAGATGCGTGGTGTGGTAATTGGCTCTCACATATGAGGAATGGATATTATGTGTGTTAAAAGAAGCTTTGTTAAGGTTTAAAGTTCTTTTGATGTGTGACTTGTTGTAGGTTGTTTTTGGACCCCTTTTTGTCCTCCCTTTAACCCTCTCTTCTCCCCTCTGTATTGTTGCCACCAGACAACCCTGGTCGTCAGGGTTGTCAGAGACATGTGGAGGGAGGGTGCGTACACATGCCCCATGAGGGACATGAGGCAGCCAGGAATGGGGGAAGCTTGTTGCTGGGGGGACTTGGCATGACACCACCTCACCTCCAATCAAGTTGCAAGAAGGTCTCCACCAATGGATGGCAAAGAAGAGTCAACTGGCAGACTTTGGGAGGAGGCAGGGATATAGAAGGAAGATGTTTGAATATGTATGACTGCTTATGAATATGTATTTGGCTGATGCAACACCAGGGGTATAAAAGGCGAAGCCGCCATTTTGTGGATGAGCCTCTGGTGGCCGGCCACGCTCCCAGTGCTGTCCCTTTTGCTTTGTAAATTATTTTTATTAGTTCTCAATAAAACTTTTATAACTCATTCCCACTTGGGATCTGAGTGATTTATAACAGTTGGGAATGTGGGTTAGTGTTGTGAGGGTTGATGGGGAGGCTAGGGCTGTTATGACACTGTGTAAATTATCTGATAAAGCTTATGCTAAAATGAACCCAGAAGTGTTGGCAGTCCCAGGGAAATATGGAAAACTGGATATGGAGCCTCTTCAAATTACTCTGAGGCAACCAGGACAAGTGGTGTCTAAAAAGTAATACCCTCTTTCAGGGGAAGGAAGGGGTTACAGCCTGTTATTGAGTTCCTGTTAAAGGCGGGTCTTTTGGAGCCATGTATGTTATGTTTCCCTATAACATTTCTATCCTGTCAGTTATGAAATCAGATGGAACCTATAGAATGGTGCAGGACATAAGAATAATGAGACTACTAAACTCAGGCACTCCATGGTCCCAGATCCTTATACCATCCTGAACCAGGTTTCCTCCTCACACTGCTACTATTCAGTACTTGATTTAAAAGATACTTTCTGGGGATGCCCGCTTACAATGCATAGTAAAGAGTATTTTGCCTTTGAGTGGGAACAAAAGGGAGAAGGGAAAATAATAAAGACATGGATGATCCTTCCACAGGGATACATGGAAGCACTGGTCTTATTTGGGCAAGATATTAAAAGAATTTACTCCATCCTTGGGAATTAGGTTATTGCAGTATGTGAAGGACTTGCTCCTATGAGGAGAATGGGAGGAGGTGGTAGGGAAAGCCACTGTGAAATTACTTAATTTTCTGGCTGGAGGATGGGATCTTGGAGTGTCTGAAGGGAGGACATAGATGATGGAGTGAAAGGTTGAATGTTTGAGGCCTGTTTTGACTGAAG